AGGATATATTCCAGTACTTCATACTATCTAAATGAAATTGCAAGGCTCATTGACTACAGAATTCCTTCTGGGGTACCCCATCTACTTTGAATACTCAGGGAGTCTAGGCAACTGGAATGGCAATGTTGCTGTGTAGGATCACCTGACCCTGTAGTTACAACAAATTATAACCATAGCTGTTAAGTTTCCTAGTTTTATTTAAGATGAAAATACACAAAATATGTGGAGGGGTACAGTATCAGAATCAAATTACTCACATTGATAATGTCCTTACTTCTTATCAGAGAAAGCATCAGATTCTCAGTCAAGCACTTGCCTGATGATCCAACAAAGAATCTCCACAGCAATCACATTACACTGCTAACAATAACTCATGTCTGTTGTCCATAAAGTACATTAAATTCAAAGATAATATACTTGTATTTCCTCCCCTTGAAAAATGTCATCATCTATTAAACATGAAAATTAAATAGTAAAAGTGATTGCTAGATAGATATTTCTTCTTTTACATTTCAAACTAGAAGACATTTTATAGACAAATAATAGACTTCAAAAACAAATTATTTGATAATAAAATTTAAGTCTCTTTATTCCATAGGAATGCTTTTTGAGATGGAAAAAGCTTGGGTTGTTTATCATTACTAAAATATATGTTTAATTAAATTACAAAGTCTTTAAAAGCAGTGTGGAGCCAGGAGAGAAAAACAGCATCTGAGATTTATTTCATTTAGGAAGAAATGTCCAGAGTAGGTTTCAATACTTTATATAATTTTAATGCATTTTATGAATTTTGTCTTATGATTTTTATATTATCAATTTCATAAAATCCCAATTTCTGATTCTATGAGTATGCTGTACTAATTATTTAGCTAAGATTATTGACAGTATATTGTTCACTAGGAAGAACTGGGGTGAAAGTTGTTTAAGTTATGCAGTCAGTAAATTTAAAATAACTTCACTGAATGTGAGGGTATGTCTAAGTGTCAGCTCATATAAAGATATACAGGCTGGAGAGATGGCTCAGCAGTTCAGAGCACACGCTACTCTTGCAAAGGACCCCAGTTCAGTTCCCAGCACCCTTGTCAGGCAATTCACAACCACCTTTGCTCCAGTTCCAGGATATCTAATGCTCTCTCCTAGCCTCTGCAGGTACCTTCATTCACACACATATTCCACCCACACACACTAAATTAAAAAAATAATAAAAATAAAATAATTTAGAATAAAGAAATAGTAAATATATAGACACTGCTCATACTTTTATGAAAAAGATTCATCTATTCAAGCAAATTTTGTATTC